TCTGCTCTGCAAGCTTAAGCTCCTCCCTCCGACAGTGACACTTCTCAGAATAGTCACCATTTTCCGCAACCAAGTCTTGGCAGTTTCAAGGGTATTTCTAATTAATTTGGAAGGTACTTCAAAATTTTCCAAGTAGATTAAAACCAACACTCATATAAACTCATCTTAAAACATTAAAGAATCACTGTTTGGAGCAAACCTTGCAAAATACGACTGCTCAACAACAGAAACCTTGATCAAGAGCCTCAGGCTCAAAGAAAATTATTTTCATTCACCAGTTTCATTTCAAACACGCCACAGGCCTGTTTCTCAAGTATATCAGTAAGTTAACCTTTTTTTAAATGTGGTTTAAGTTATCCTTATTACGCAATCATGGCACTCTCACAGACACGATCTCATTCAATCCTGACACCTCTGGAAGGTTTTCTTATATTTGATTGTCCCAAAATTAGTTTAGAGAAGGCTGCATTTTTTATCACACACTCTAATGCCCAGTAGTAGAATGAATGAAGTGATAGTTATTTTAAGAATCACCCCATTCCCTCCTGATGACATGATCAATGCATTTTTACTTTGGATGTCAGGGGGCAGACAGGGATTATGAATTCCTTTAAGAAGCTGGTGATAGGCTATGGACCTATCCTTCAGAAAAATGCACATATAAAATGCAGTATGTTATTTTAGAAAATATATAGGCCCTCTGCAGCGTACCATGGACCCAAGCTAAGAACCTGACAAAGTAGGCAGAAATAGGAACACTGTGTCAACCAATAAGCCACACCTGAGATTTTGAAGGCAGCAGAAACTGTACTGCTTATAGCAGGCAGTTGTGGAACTGAGAACCTCACTTAAAGTCATAACTAATTATATATTTAATTAAATACTTTAACAAGTTGTCTCACCAAATCAACAAATACACAACAGATTTATGCAATGTTCTCCAGAGCAAAGCATCTATATAAAATACATCATTTTAAATGTGATTAAAGCATGAAAAAATTAGTTAAAACAGAAAGGCATAAAATACCAATGTAATTAAATTTCTCCAGTTGATGAGTCTGAGTGGGACAACAATCACAACACCCAGCTTAAGCAAATATGAGTCATCATTTTTTAAAAAACAGGAAATACAATCTATAATAGATATAATATATCCTAACCAAACTCATTAAAAAGAAGAAAGCATATCTCATTCAATGTAACAGAAAGTTATTTACAGACTGAACTGTCTTTTTAAGTGTTGAATCAAATACAATATTTAGAAGAACATTGTAGTGAATCCTTTTATGTAAATAATGGCTATTACAGGTTGAATTATGCCCCTTCCCAAACAGCAGAAGCTGCATATATTGAAGTTTCATACCCTAGTATCTCAGAAAGTGACCTTATTTGGAAATAGGGTCAATGTGGATATAATTACTTAAGTTGAGTAAAGTGGGCCCCCAAATCCGAAATAGCTGGTGTCTGCAGAAAAAGGGAAAACTTGGACACATATGACAGACAAGGACACCACCACGTGAACATGAAGGCAGAGATCAGGATGACATGTCTAACACATCAAGAAACGTCAAAGATTGCCAACAAACCCCCAGAGGCTAGGACGGAGGCCTCGAACAGATTCTTGCCTCATGCCTTCAGAGGGAACATGAAGGTACTGACGCCTTCCTCAAGCTGCCATAAGTGAGATAATTACTTTCTGTTGTTTAAAATACTAAGTTCATGATACTTTGTTATGGCAGGCCTAAGGAACTAATACAATGACCTAATTACTTTTGCTCTGTAACAAAACTTTCACATGTTACTATAAAGGGAGATGTATCACATCAAACGCTAATAGTTTTTTAAAAAAGGTACAGATTTTGTAAGAACAGCGTATTAACTGGAACCAGACAGCTTTTTTTTCCACCTAATCTGTCACCAGTTTAAACCGGTATGTGAAAAAATTTACAATACTCTGACTAAAATGAAATGTCAGTACGAATAAAACTCACTAAAAGAATAATACATGCTCATCTGCCTTATTCACAGTTTTTTTTAAGAAGTACCTTATTCTAATTGCAAGGTAAATAATATCTTTATGGACAATAAAGTAATAAAATATATTCAAGTAAAAAGATGATCAATTTTTGCTATTTTAATATATTATCAGGCTGAAGGGCTTTTCCACTTTAATAAATTGCATTTGGCAAAAGCATTTTTTATCTTAAAATATCAGAGATATTGAAAATAACTGTCAGCAAGAAGGTAGAAACAATCAGCTCTAAATCAAGAGATGAGTTGTGACACATTTAATCAGAAATTTCAAATCAGTGGGCAAACACTGAAGATATACTGCCTTATTAATATAAATACCACCTTTCAGTAACATAAGCAAAAAACTCAATTTCATAGAAACAAGAGAAATGTTTGCCAGAAGGGGGAGCTTCTACTTTGAACATAGGCTAAACAATCCAGCATATGTGTTATTAAAAGGAAATAATTCCAGATCACAGACAGCAGAGATGGGGATCAAACCCTAACCTTTCGCATTCCAAAGCCAATATTCAATCTGTCTTTTAGGGCACCAAGATTTGCAAAAGAAGTCCTTAGATTGAAAGTGAAAAAAAAAGATGCAGTGTTGGTAAATTCAGGGCTGAGGTCTGCTTTAAGGAAGTGACAAGTACCTGAAATGTAAAAGGTACAGGAACCTGATCTTATCTATGACTTCCTATGTAGATAAGAACAGGTTCACTGAACTGTATGGGAAAAATGGCATAAAGAGTAGGACATGGCTATTTCCCCTATTATCTTTGTCACATTTAAATTAGCACTGGCTTTACACACCCTTCAAAATACACATACATGCGCTGGAAAAAATAACCTTTGCCTTGGGCTTTCTAAGATTGTGCTACATTAAGATATGAATAAGAGAGTGTGTGTGTTGCTTCCCTTTAAAATGAAAGGCTTTTCAGTAAGAAGAAAATGATGCAGTGATTCTGCATCTGGATTCAGTGACAAATACTAATTTTATCTCATCACAAACAGACCTCCTCCGATCATCTAAGAAGTTCTTTAGTGTCTTAATTCCAATTTTTTATCCTGAATTTCAGAGCTACATATAATTTCAGGATTTAACTGAAATGGGGGACATGGGTATTATTGTTTTGTTAGGATAGCAAAGCTAAAAATTCTGGCTTGTATAATTTCCTCATATCTTATTATTACTAATATAAGGGACAGTATTTTATACTAGTAAGATTATCCCTAACATTAATAGCATTTACTGAACACTTTTTATGTCTGTTCTTTACAACTGTTTATCTTTACATCAGTTCTAAGAAGTGGAATTAATCCTCGTTTTAGCAAGGACAAATTCAAAAGTTAAATAACTTGCTCAAGGTCACAGAGATGGGGTCAAGCCCTAACCTTTCCCACTGCAAAGCCAATACTCAATCTGTCTTTTAGGGCACCAAGATTTGCAAAAGAAGTCCTTAGATTGAAAGTGAAAAAAGGATGTAGTGTTGGTAAATTCAGGGCTGAGGTCTGCTTGAGGGAAATGACAAGCACTTGGAATATAAAAGGTTAGGGACTTGAAAGAAGTTCTTCCTGAGAATTTATGGGTGGCACATATGCCGGTTATGTAAACCTGAAGGAATCGGAAGTAGAAAGTTATCAGAGGTCTGCCAACAATGTGTTCATATTTACAAACATTCTGGCAGAGAAGTCTCAGAAAGACCCAATTTGAAAAGCTGAAATAATTACATTAATGGGCATTTTTACTGAAATTGCCTCAATTTTCTGAATTTCCCAAACTGACAGATGTAACTGATTCTATAAAGGCTATCCTGTGGTGATAGAGATGGCATATGGGCCACAAGAGATGAATTTCATGCTGCATCTAACCCCCTAACTGAACCAAGCTTCTGTACTACACAACTCTCACGTTTTCTGAATGTGGTTTATAATAGGACTGTTACTGTGGACGCTTGGGAAAAGCTTCACTACTTCTGAAAAATTAAGAGAAACTCAGTAGTAAGATTAATTTATGAAAAAATCTTTACGGTGAAATTGGGAGAAATATTTAAGGAAATCAACTAAGTCTTTAGCTAAAGATCCCTTAAACTAGAGCTGTTTCAGAAAGGTGAAAAAGAAATTTTTTTTTAACTAACCATACTGAATATACAAGAAATAATTCACATTATAAGTATTCGTTTCTTTTTTCCTATGTAAAAATCTTCAACAAAGCCCAATGACATTTCAGTTATTATAATCTAATTCAAATAAATTGTGTGATAATCACATCTTACTAACCTCACAGAGAAAGATGGGCACATTCAAGATGTAAAAGGCTCACTAAATATAATACTTTGAAATACATGATTTGGTCAAGGCTGCAAAACCCACGGGAAATTTTTAAAGACAAGTAGACTGCTAGTCAAGCCTTGGCCTCGAAGGAGTTTCACCACTGAGGAAAAGTTAATGTATGAGCTCTCCAGAAGGAAGCCCCATCTTTCCACTCCTGTGGAGCCTGGGGACAACATGGACGGACGGATTCGGAAACCACAGTGCAAAGAGCGCCAACCGCGGACCTCTCCGCAGCCACCACCGGTGTGGGCCCCGCTCGTGCCTGCACATCCCGGGGGCAGGGCGCACCGACACCGCAAGGTCACGGGTAAGAGGCGACTTTACGTAATCTCCCGCCGCGCCGCCCGGGCACCTGCGCTCCGGCGCGGCGAGGCCGCTGCGGTCACCTCCCTGCCGCGCCCGCGCGTGGCGATGCGGGGGCAACGCGCAGGGCGACCAGGGTGGACTCCAGGGACTCGCCGGCGCCCGCAGCGCCGCACCGAGCCGGGGGCGGGGAGCCGGGGTGGGCTCCCAGACGCCGCCGCCAACCGGGCGGGTGGGGCCCCGCGGGGCGCCGCCGGGACGGGCTCGGTGCGGGCCGGGGTCCCCACGCTCCGGGCCGGCAGCAAGCGACTCCGCCCGGGACGACCCCGCGGCGCACCTGTCACGCGCCTTACCTGAGTGGCTTTATGGAACTGCTTCTTGAGCCCAGCCACCGACATGGTGCGGGAGGACACGCGGGCGGCTGCAAACGCGGAAAGGGGCGGCGGCGGCCGGTGCGGGAGGGCCGAGCGGAGCGGCGCGCTCGCCGGGCCGCCGCTCGTCGTGCCGCCGCCGGGGCTGTGGGCGCGGGGGCGCTGAGCGGCGCGGGACGCGGCCTCGTGCGGAGAGACACCCTGACGTCAGGGCGGGTGACGCGGACTCTTAAAGGGGACGCGGGAAGCCCCGCCCGGGCGCAGGGCCGGTGGGACAGGTGCTGCTGCACGCGCCACCTGTGCGTCCGCGCCCCCGGGGAAACTGGCTGCGGGCGCCCGCGGGCCAGCTGCTGGTTAGAAGGCGATGGGCGTTCTCCCGCCCGGCGAGGGCCGTTTGTGCCCCCGCGGACTGCGGACCGCTCGCTGCAGTGTGGCAGCTCCGGCACCCGCACGGCTTAGGTGACGTGCTCTGGTTCCAGGTAGCCGCTGCGGCGCTGCCTGCACCTTGTCCGCCTGCCCCATGAACTCTGCCTCCGCAGCCTAGAAAGGAGGCTTTCTATCTGGGGTAATGAATAAGTCATCGTTCCTTTTTCTACCTCGCCCCTGCTCGGTTGGTCAGAGAAAACATTTCTCTGCCCTTGTTTCAATATCCCTTAAACCTACATAACGTTAGGGAAAGCCACCAATGCTTTTTTTTTTGTCTGATATAATTTAACGACTTAAAACAAAGAAGATAGCATTTAATCCTATGTTTACAGACGTGGAAAAGCCCAAATATGAACTTGGTGTTCACTTATGGTGGATATAGGATTTTCAATCTAAGCATTATGTAATGTAGAAAAGCATGATACTAAGTTGTACAATACATGTGTAACAAAATATATACAGTTGGGCTAAAGCGAAATTCTGATGGAATCATATTGGTAGCAGAGCAGCACTACATGTCTTCTGTGTTCTGGTAATTAGCCACTTCCTCTGCTTTTTCTAGGACTGAGGAATACATGAGAAATAACTTGACACTGTCCCCATGTGAAGACCAAAGTTACAAGAAGGCAGAGTGACAGAAGCCAACCAAGATAAGGGACATTGCCAAGGGTGAATGAGGAAAGAGCGCCGCAGAATGGGAATTCTAGGAATACCTTTCACTGCCTCCGCAACCCCTGCTGCCTGGAAGGAACCACAGACCCTATGACCCACATGTATTTTATTTTTTGTTAGATATCCAAGAAGCAATTTGCCTGTTTTATTCTTACAAAAGCCTCACTGAAATTCGGGAAAGTGTATTCTTTTTTGCATTCTCACTAAAGCAGTGAGCAACTCACCCCCAGGCCTGAGAATCAGAGGGAACAGTGGCTCCAGGCACTAACCATCATACCCTGACCTCTTAACCCTTTATTTTCCTTACCAGCTAGAGAGGATGAAGAGCCAGCTCTAGTGATTTATACGGAATACTAAAGGACTATCTCTGCCTCAGAGAAACATCAGATAGGGAAAGACGAAGTCCTGCCATAGATAGGTTGGGCTGCCGATCTATCAAGAGTTCAGGACAAACTTAAAGTGACTTCACTGAAGTTGCAGGAGGTGGTAAACCTAGGGCACATTCCCCACCCCTATCAGGCCCCCAAGGGGGATTACCAGATTCTTGACATTAGGAAGCTCTGCATTAGTTTGCGCTTACTGCATGAGTAGGTGAGGCTCTAGACAAGAGAGATTTGGGAGTTAGTGTTACAATGACTGTTTTGGTACCCTAACAGTCTGGCAATGCTTGCATTTACACATGCACACACAACACACACACTCAGGAGTAACTATTGTAAAATGCTAATAATGGCTGTGCTGCTTGAGCAGTTCTCAAACTTCAGCATGCAAAAGGATCCCCTAGAGGACTTGTTAAAGCACAAATTGTCATAACATCCCCAGTTACCAGTTCACCAGGTCTGGGTGGAGCCCAAGAATGTGCATTTCTAACAACTTTCCAGGTGATGCTAATGCTCTGGTCTGGGGACCACATTTTGAAAACCATTGGGGTAGAGACATTAGGAGTGAACTTTTTTCTGTCTACTCCCAATGTTTAAAATGTTTTTGCTTTACTTTAATAACTGAAAATGTACTTTATAGTTCATTTTCCCCACTTGCCCTGTGACCTAAACAATGGAACACTGTCATTGAAGGATGGGCTCTGGGTGAAGCTGCTGAGAGAACAACTAATCTACCAAGCAGAGGGCCTGGGAATCATGAGCTCTGGTCTCTAACTGTGAAAGGTGTGAAATGGGAGCCTGAGAAATCTTCTCAGGACTTTGAATACTTGATTGAACCATAAGTTAAACATAAACAAGTCTCTCTTTCCCTGGTTCTTCATCCACCATGTTAGAAGGCTTATCCTGTTATACTTCAAGGAACTATCTTGGTAGGAAGGACTTTAAATCCTTTTGAAATCTTTGTTAACTCTCCCAGGTATCCCCTGGATCTTATGTAAATCCAGTATTATTTTTAAAGCCACAATTTCTACCTGTAAAGACCTTTGAGATATTAAGTTTGAAAGAGATTTGTTGAGCTTCTCCTACTAACAGGCATCATGTGTTGGGGGATGGTAAGGCTAGATACCTAGATGTTCATGGACTGTTTCTTAAACCCCAAGGAGTTTACAGTCCAGTAACTCAGAAAACCCTTCTTTTAGACATTTATTGTGGGTCAAATTCAGAGGAACAAAGGCAGCAGACCCTGAAATATGCCAAACGTGAGTGCCCTCTTGGGTTGCAAAAGAGCAGCTACAGAGAAATGTAGAAGCACAAAGCAGGGAAAGGGACATTAAAGGTCAGTGAGGAAGAACTTTGTTTAATAAAAGGTTGTTATAATTCAACATGCTGCCCTCTTCTCTCCTGAGATCAAATTAATGTAAAATGCTAAATAAACCTGGATCTGCTCAAGAAAGGTCCAATTAAATGAACCCCACACACAGCACCACCTCACTAATTGGACATAGTCAGCAATAACTCCATCACATCATTCATGCACTATTTCTCCTTACATTATGCCAAAGCTTCTGGCAAATACCACATGTCTAGTTTGCACATCCCTGCTGCATCCCTGGTGTCTTTCAGAGGGCCCCTTATTCCAAGGAGACAGAGGACAAGCTGCAGCTCTCATCTTTTTGTCCTTCAGCCCCTGATACCTCTGGTCCACACAAAGGCAAACTGTTCCTGATTTTATGTGTAAGCTCATTGAGCACAAGAAACAGCAAAGCAAAGGCATTAAATCTCAACTTATTTTACAGATGAGAAAACAGAAGCAATGAGAGGAAGTGACTTACTCATCATTACTTTTTCTACTCCTGCCTTTAGCCTCAATTCAGGGAAGAGCAGTCCGTGTTAATAAATACAGATGGAATGAAAGACTGAATAATTTCTGTTACTGATGCTTTATTCTTGCACATTGGGTCTGATGTTCAACAGCCTTCACCTGACAGCCCTATATTAAAGCATGGATAGTGCAGGACCCAGACAGTTATTCTGGTGTGAATAGCACTTGACATAAGATTTTGTACTTTTGGATGCTGTCAGGAGCACTGGGCCCCCATCCAGCATGAACACAACTATCATGGACAGCCCTTTCCTAGAGATGGGAAATCAAAGGGAAGACCACCTTCATTTCTGGGCTCCCAGGTTTGTCCCTACCTCCCAGCTTACAGCAGATAGACAGCAGCACACTTTTTTGTCTCTCAGAGGTGGAATGTATGGGTCTTTCCTTCTCTTCCACAGAGCCTTTCTTTCAGAGCACAGTGGCCTCTGCCTGCAAAAACTTCCTCATCATTTAGCTAAATCTTAGTCCAATCAGAAGAGGAGGAGGAGGAGGAGGACTTAACAAAGTAGATGACTTATGTTAGGCTCTTATATCTGGGCCCTTTTTATTTGCATCCCAGTTTGAAATGCTTCCAACTTTCCTAGCAAATTCCTGCCATCTGCACTGCCCATCTTCAGTGCCTTTCTTTTGAAGTCTTTCCAGACTTAACCCCTCCACTTTTCATGTATGCAGTCCCGAGGCTCTGATTGTTCATCTCTGTCATCAACTTGGTCTAACATGCATTGCAGGTATTGATATATAGCATTAGATTCTTAACTCTCTGAGTGCAGGGTCTTTTATCTTTACCTTTACAACTCTTAGCATATAATATGAACACCTACTAGATATAGGCTAATTGAAATTTTAAAAGCCTAATAAAATTTTAAAAGCTAGACCCAGTGGAAAGCCTGGAACTAGCTGAACTTCTCTCCATCTGAGCAGATGGGTCAGTGGTTATGCTGCTCCCTCACTGTATCCAAGCCTGGATCTCCAGATTCCTGTCAGTCCTGAGAGTCCCTTCCCCTAAATTTCCCTTTGTGCATTCATTACTTACAATAAACAAACTCTTAAGAGATATATCAGTTTTACTCAACCCCTGCAATAATATTTCAATCTCGATTCTGTTTCTTGTTTCGACCTAGCAACTCAAATACAGCAATTTAGGCAACTACAGTTCCTGCTAAGCACTGCATTAGGCTTTGTTCTGAGAGACAGTGGACAGATTTGGGTGACAAGGAATATAGCCCTTTAGCATCAATTCTCCCTGTAAGACACTGACATTCTGATTTACAAATCAAGCCTTTGTTTATTTGATTAGTATGTGTCAGGCTGTCAGGGCCTGAACCTCTGAGGCCCCTGGGAATTGGCTGCTGAATGCTGGTAAATAAATGCCAAGTTACTGGACTCTGAGAAAATAGTGCCCACTCCTGGAATGAGAACAACCTTAACTAAGTGTAAATTATTAGGGCAAATACCACTGGCTTCTTTGTTCTTTCCTGGGTGGATATTATCATTAGAGATTCTGAACGCATGCTGTTAACCCTGAACATAGGATCTGGCTAGTCATCTTGTATAAGCACTGTATTAAAGAGGCCACGTTCTATTTTAGTAGCTAGTTAGCCATGCAGAGAAAAGCTATTCCTTAGTTACAGTATGCATTCTACTCTGTCATCTCAAGGATGCATCCTCCTGATTACAGAAGAGTCTAGTTGAAAAAGCATAGATAATTTAGTTGAGCAAAAACCTGTCAACAATAATAGGAACTCAGAGTACAAGCTTCCAATATTCTGTGATTTCATATATAAAGTGTCAGCTTT